CCTCGTATCTAACCCCCCCCCCCCCCCCCCCCCCCCCTTTACTCCCTCATCCACATCAGCCTGGACCCATACCATCGTGTCGACACCCACCGACGCCCGCCGACGCTGCCGTCACAGGTCCTCGCCCCAAAAGTCTGCAAACTGAACGAGACGCGTAATGAATGCGCTCAGCCTTCCCGAAGTAATCCCTGGCTGGTGCGTCGTACTCGGGACTCTGGAATTACGAGTTTTCGTACAAACGCCCTTATGGATTTCTCGGTGATATTAAGTCGCGATAATGTCAATGTAAATGCTTGCACGGAAAATATTCGCGGTCGTAACACTTGCGTAATGACGTTTTATCGAAATTCTGGTTAAATCGATTTTCTGGTTACGACAGAGAACGTTCTTAGGTGTTATGCGCAAGAACCTAACCCAACCTGTTTTTTTGGCCATCGGTATACAATTCTGGTATAAATATCAGCGTTTACACTGATCGATCTAAAATATTACATAATTCCTTCGGGATATGGATTATTTGCTCAAAGACGTCATTTTAACCAGCTGTTTAATTAGACCACAGGATCTGGAGTTTCTTAACCTACAAAAAAGAATTTTCTGGTCCAGCTTAGATTTTTCCATATTTAGACCACGTCCCATCAGTCAGTTAGATCATTGAACGCAATTTAAAAATTGATACAAACAGCTTAGACACTTGTTTGGAACTTGTTACCATGACGAGCTGAAAGAAAAATTTTTTTACCAGCTCCTCCAGTTTTACCGTAGTATCCGTACCGGATGTCCAATGTTGATCCGAGAAACGAATATAGATTTACTGAAAATGGGGTATCTGGGGACCCCAGATTGCAGATAGCAAAACGAACGAGCCGGAACGAGCGTTCAACCGTACTGGAGTAGTTTTATCGTCCACGGTCAGTGACTCTGATAGTACACCGGGGTCCCAGGGACCCCGGTCTGTGAGGATCTGCGTAGTCCTAGAGGACCTTCTGATAACCCAGTGCTACATATCCTTCACTCACCCTAATGCAGACTTTCTCATGAATTAGGTATGACTTTCATGTCTGAGGTTGCACCTAACCTATAAATCAGGCCCAGCATCGAACAAGCTACCAGTACCCTTTTGTGACTCCTTGTCTGTCCTGTGACAGGATCTTTGGCTGCTTGATCCTCCCGACAAGGATTAGTCGGAAGAACAAGAGGAAACGGTACAGAGTCGATCGGGCACCGAGTGCCAATGAACTCATCCAGCGCGGACGTTAACCCTCCAGGGGTGCTCAGGGGGTTCACGGGACCCGGGTGTAGGACAGGGAGAGAAAAAAAATTTGCTAAATTCACTACTCAATATGGATTTCAAATATATACACATCCGGTACAGCTGACCTCTTGATGAGATCAGAATAAATTTTAATAACGATTATAGCACCGATAACCTTTTTTAAGTAAGGGCGGAATTTTTGAAAATCATCCGTCTCGCACGTGTCTTCGTTTGCCGATAGTAGCTGTAGATTATAAAATTTGGTAAAAACCCACTAGAATTATTAACACAGCCGGTACCCGATGAGGAAGCCTCTCAGGATCAGGATCCTGAAACGGATCAAAGATCCTGAGCACAGAATGCCAGATATCCTGATTACTTATCTTTCTGCCTGGCAGGTTACTTGCTGACGAGGGTGGAGAAAAAGATTGGCTCGCCGGAGAAGCCTCTGTCTGACCTCGGTTTGATCTCCTACCGGAGTTACTGGAAGGACGTGTTGCTGCAATACCTTTGTAACTTTGGCGGCAAGGAACTATCTGTCAAAGGTGAGACAATTGTGCTGATAAGAGTCCAAGGAATTTGTAACGTAATTCTTTTAACTTAACTTATGACTATCTGCGAGAACCAACCTACGTTACCTTCGGCCGTCCACCCGTCGTTCGTGCATCCGCAAGCCAGGCGGCCGCCAGCCAATTCTTTTTTCACC